TTTTCAGGTTCACAAGTTCACTCGACATGGATGTGGTTTATGGTCAATGTCGCTTACTCCGGGGCATTTGTGTTGAGTAGAAGAATTGGACATCTAGGAACTTAGTTGTATCCTGCATTATGATCACGCGAATTGTCACCAAGCAAAAGCTGACACTTTTTTACCATTTAGGGACAATGCTAGACGAATCTAATGCCCCCTTGGCAGTCAATATCAACAGGGCATTACATTTTAGAATTTGTATTCCGATAACAACATTAGAGCCTTATGATCACCCCCACGCAACCGCCAACCTGTGGTCTCTTTTCTGCAGTGTTAGTCTATAAGTGCCCGCATTTAGCAAAACTAATGAATATATAGGCCGTGAAGAAGGATACACGATCGATGGAACAAGAGCTTTATTTGGCCGACGTTTCGGATTACTGCTTGAACCCATCATCAGAGCCAATAGCAGATACGCTTGGTTCATGCACAAGGGGCTGCAGAATTTAGAGTCTGCAGTCGTCATGCTACCGCATACCTATGAACAGTGACGCCCCCCTCCTCATCAGGGATCGCTGCACGTAGTGTGTTGACTGTTTGATGGCTGACATCCGCGTCGTTAATTGCAGCAATTCCATCACGTGCGTTAGATGTTGGTGCTTATTAAATCATGCTGCTCTGAATTATGTATCTCAGTTGTTGTTTTGTTCATTCGTTTAGACAGTTAATATTTATGTCTACTTATGCATTCTAGTTAAGTTCAATAGTTTAGTTGCTTTCAATCTGTTAAAAATATAAGTCCACGTTTGTCCATTATTTAAATTAAAGTTTCTGATGGTGAGACTTTATAATGCCGTGAAATGGCCGACCATATGACGTCACGTCTCCGCATTTGCCATTGAGGCTTGTTAATTTAACAATATGGCGAAAATCCAATTCTACATAAAAGGAACCCGATATGGTTCCTTTTTTGACCGTACAGGAATATGTGCTTTATTGTACACGGAAAATATACTGCTTATAGTTTGAAACCCTAAATGTAAGTATGACGGCAGGGGTACTCAAAAGAATTCGGGAATCGGAAAAGTTTCTAAAACCGAACTTTATCGTTCGTTTAAGTAAAAAGCTTAAAGAAGACGTACTTTTTCACCGAATGAGCTAAAGAATGAATATGTTTATTCATTTTTTTCTAAGAAATATAAGTGGACGTTTAGGAGCATCGAAAAGCAACGAGAGAAATCCCTGCTATATAACTAGTCATTTTTCCAGAGTGCCATTTTTTTGCCACCGGAAGAAAGTTTGTTCAAAAGCCGGCATCCTGTGGTAACAGAATTAATACAGCATAATGTTGCATGATTATGTATTTTACAAGCCTACTTAATGAATCATTTCGAAACGAAAACGCCTTTTGACAGTTCAGTTAAAATTTAATGAGAAAGCTCACCTACTGTAAATAGACAGAACGCATGATCATTATTTTTAAGTTTTTATGAACGTCGTGGCATGACCGCTGCACGAGTTATGGATAATCTTTTAATGGCCCGTAAGAAAATACATACGATTAAACTATATGAGAGATTGCCACCACAGTCGATAAGGATTATATTCACTAGCCTGAGCTCATTATTTGCGTTCCGTGGAGAGCAGTGACAGGAGAGGTGAATTTTGCTCGATTTGGAGACCTCCAGGTATTGCTGCTAACATCGATTAAGAGACAAAAGCCAGCGCTGTAGGTGGAGATTCCTAACTGTGTGCCTAGCGGTAGTACGGAGCCAGGAGCGCGGTTCCGGGTGGATGTTGATTGAGATTAGGCGGATTTGGGTAGATCCTGCTGCTGCATTAAACAGTCGGTTCATGCGTCGCAATTCTGGAGTTCCGTCTACTGTCAGAGCGTTTAAGCACTGATTAGACAAATGGCAACCCGATCGGTGCTGAGTGCGGCTTTTGTTAATGGTTTCCAAAATTGAGAAATGCGTTTTCGTCTCGAAAAGATTAAGTAGAGTTGTAAAACTGGTCAGCCTGCAAAATAATTCTATAATATTTCAGTTACCTCAGGATGCCGTCTTTTGAATGTACCTCGTTCCGGTTGCATGCAAAAAACGCACGCTGTACAACGGCCAGGCTCGATGCTATGTGAATCGACATTTCGCGGTGTTAAAAGTTTCATAATTAGAAACTTTTTAAAACCTAATTAAACTCCGTCCTTAAGTATAAAATATAAAGTGGACGTGATTCTCTTTAGAGCGACTAAAAGAAAGCATATTTTTGTTTGTGGTTTCTATTAAATATATTTGAATATCCAAGACAATCGAAAATTAATGTGAAAAAGGCACGCTACATAAGTAGTCATTTTTACCGAGCACGCTTTCTACAGGAGATTGGAAAGAAGTGCATTTAAAAGCCGACATCCCTCGGAGTCCAAAATGTAATAAGATAATCAATATCACCACCGCGACCAAGTAATCCTTCCTATTTGAAAACGTATTTCAGAATTTCAGCCAACATTTCATGAGATAGGTCACGCACTGTAGGTAGCATGCATTTTCCTCATTGACCTTTAGTGTCCCTAAAAGCAAAGTTATATTTTATAAAAACCATGCATAAAACTATTCACCCTATTGCTCATTCGGTAGATAACTAAGCGTTATTCTAATTTATACTCGAAGGAGGGAAATAGTTCCGTTTTAAAAGTTTCTTATTGCGGGACTTTTAAATACGGTGAAATGGCCGTTTGTAAATCGTCACGTCTCTGCATTTACCAGTGTGGCCTGGAAAGTTAACAAAATGGTTCAAATTCAGTGCTAAATTTCATGAACCCCTTCATGATCTCCCTTTATTACTGTGTGATAAGTGTGTGGTTTTTCGTACGCGTAATATATACGGCTTGTAGTTTGGAAATCCTGAATCCAAATGTAATGGTAGAGCGGGTTCAAAATTATTCGGGAATCGGAAACGTTTTTGAAAACCGAATTACACCCTTCCTTCGAGTATACTATTAGAAGAAGACGTAATATTCTACCGAAGGTACAAAAAAATGAATGTTTTTATGCATGGTTTCATGAAATCTAATCAGACTTGTAGGATCGAATGAGCGCAAAAATGAATGCTATCGACGTAGTCATTTTTTACAGTGTAATATTCCATGTAGCCGGAAGGAAGGTCATTCGACAGTCGGCATCCTGTGGTAACTGAAAAAATACAGAATTATGTTGCAGGCTGATTAGTTTTACCACACTACGTAATTCATCTTTTCGAAACAAAAACACATATCGGAATTTCGGTTGACATTTCATGAGTTAGCACATCTAGTGCCTGCCAGACCAACAAACGCATGCAAACCCCGGCCTTAGCCACGGAATCCCCGGCCTAAGCTGAGTTTAGGATATGCGTAGTCAAACGCATTGTCTCTTTTTCCTAAAGTATAATTAACCTGCTAAGTAGGCAAGACTGAATTCACTAACGGACACTAACTGCTGTCACCGCTCAAATAGGCGATCAAAATCTGATCGCGTTTGTCTGTCGGAAACTGTACTGAGACTAGTGGATTTAGACTGTCTGCAGTCTGCGTTTTAAGAGCTTGAGGACATGGAACACACGATATGCTGCTTAGTATATTGGCTTCTCACAAGTAACGATTCCAGCCAATGGACATGCGGTATGCCCATGTCCACTGCAGGACAGCTTCCTTTTCCGTACACCTCCAAATTAATTGTGGCAATTATGCACCTACTCTGGAGAATTTAAATTGGACCACTGCTTCTGAATGACACTTTAAGCATTAAAGGCGTAGGTCTGAAAGAGTGTCTGTGATCGGGGCAACTGCGAATACGGACTCACAGAACGGTCGTTCAAATTAGAATGTGGTGGTTTACTAAAACAGCCATTTTTGCTTACTTACCGAGGATATTCCGAAGCAAGGTCCGTTAATTTGTAATAATATTTACCGTAACATTTCACTGTAATGGCTGTCCGGTTCCGCGGCAATGTTCTCAATTGTCTAATCAACTAACATCACGGACCATGATTTAAATACGAAAATAATGGCCCGGTTCGGAAAGCCACACACACCCATTTGTTCTTAAATTCTAAGTCCCAGCAATTTCGTCTTAGTTGCTTCCTACTTCCGAATACTGTGACAAAACGCAATTTTCGAGAAAAGAGACTAATTAACTTAAAGTTACACTATGGTACCAGTGTTAGTAAAGAGTATGGAGCCACCGCTTTTGAGACGAACAGTCTTAAAAAGCACACCGTCTTTGGTTTTTTCGACGCTCGAAGGACCATACCGCCCAGCATGGAATCCTTTTCTTTTCATCTTGACACCGTTCATTGGCGCATACAAGAACTCACTTGACACAGTCCGGAAACCCGGACGATGTACAGTCGTCTAAACAACAAAATATGTCAAGATTACTATTCGATGCAAAAACCCGAATATTGAACTCTGAAGCAATTTATTCAGGTTCCGGACTTCAAATAAGACAGCGTAATACGTTAAAGAGAAAGTTAAAAAACAAAAAAGAAATATGTAGCCTTTAAGCTCCTCTTTTAATTTGAAGCGCAAACCCTGACTGTTAGCTAGGCTGAACAATCTCTTCAAATAGATAAGCGGGTAGTGCACCCTCACGAGTTCTGTACAGTGTCCAGGCCGTCTGGACATAGCCGTCCCACTTTGTTGATGAGATTGACACGTGGTCCGCCAACTTGACGCCCTCCTCCCTGAAGTCTGCAATGGCTCTCCACCAGCGTCTTTGCGAATGGATGCATTGGTACATCTGATCCACTGACTGCATTTGGAATGCAGCATCACCATGAATCGGGGACTTTGCCGAGAGGAGTTCGTAGGCAAGCCTGCAAACATTGGAGCTGCCGGTACAGACGAGGAAGTCGGCCGACACCAAAAGATGCAGATCAACGAGAATGGCGAGCACACCTGCGGTAGACCAACGATTCTTATATGCACTTCCATTTCTCTGTCGACCAATAAATTCATATCTGGGGTATTGGGATCTGGCCTCCTAAAAGACGGATGCATCATCAGAAGCCAAGAAGACGCGTCGTCGTCGGGACCACGATGGTGGTCTTGTACTGCCAGTTTCCAAGCAAAATTCCACCTCCTTTAACTCAAAGAAACGTTCAACGTGAAACATGTACTCCTCTACTGCATACAGCTTAGCCTCAGAAAGGAGTTTATCTGTTCGACGTATGTGTATGCTGGCGATTGGTCCGTCTGAAATCTGCTTCATACCCTGCAACTCTATTTCAAGTTCACGGCGCACGGCCAGATCTTTTGGACGAAGCATGTACTCCAACAGATGGCCACGGTACCACGGAAAGGGATCACCCAATGTCGTACCTAGTTTATCGGACCACTGGCTTGGCATAGCAGGCGCATAATAGCGCGTGCTTATATTCGGAAGTCCGTTTTCTAAACGAGGGACATTCGGCAGTCCTTCGGTCTGTTTCAACGAGCAGTTAGAGAACGGCATGAAGAAGTCCTTCCAGTCATTGTGCTGCAGCAGCAGTGTACGATTGGTTGCAAAAGCAAATGAAAACTTCAGAACCATGTGATGAGCAGAACATCCAAATCCGCAACTATAACGCAGTTCTGCCAGAGCGAAGGGCGACTGACTGCAGTCGGGAGGATTCTGTATGCTCGAAATTTGGTGTCGCAGTTCTGAGCTCAATGCATCCACCTTCCGACGTCTACTCTCACGCCGGCCACTGAGTTTGTCGAGCAGATCCAGCCTCGCCGTGAGCTGAAGTGTAGCATGAGATAGGAGAGTGTTTAAGTGGGTTTTAGATGGAGAAGTTTGGTTGCGGGTGGGGAATTGGGCATTACTCAGTCTCCAGAGTTCGGTAACGGTTGAACGAGCCTGTCGGAATAGCACATCGGTACTTGGTGACCTTGTTTCAGTCGGAGGAGGATAATCGAACATCACCGTCTCAACATTATTTCCAACACAACTCTGTAACCAGATAAAACTGAGACGCCAGACGATGCAAACAGTCAGCGCGGTAATGCAAAGGATGAGTCCTGCTGCTTTTCTAGGCCACATGCAACTTGGAGAAGGGGAGAACTGAGTAACTGATTTTGTTTTGCTCAATGTGTGCTATTGTTTGCAGCCATGGGCTTAAAACAAATTTCAGATGGAAGAGGCTTTTTTGAGTCTAGTTAATCCCACCAATCATTTCGTGCGCCAAAGTCTAAGGTACGTATTTTCGTTATGAAAATACGGTGCTGAAGATCCTAACCGGGCATAGCGCCAAAAGTCGTAAATGAGGGAGGCCTGGCTTGTTATGGGGTGCTCTGATTCGTACGTGACCGCTGTATCTGGGGCGCATACTGGGAATAGACAGAAGTCATGCAGTCAGGAAACTCTGATATCTGTGGCGATGTATTAGACACGGCAGTCCTGGCTTCATTCTACTCAAAACGCTACCGCTGTTGACGAACAATAAAGACGGTTGTATCGGTACCCACATGAATAAGTCGGATGCATTCATTCATTTTGGTATTTTGTCAACCGTTATCCCTACAGTCATTATGCGAGACATTAGCAATAGACCTACCCTGCGTGACCTATCTCATGAAGTTTTGGCTGAAATTTTGAAATACGTTTTCGATTAGGAAGGATTACTTGGTCGCTGTTGTAATACTGATGACCTCAAGGCACACTCTTATAACATTTTAGACTCGGCAGGATGTCGGCTTTAAAATGCATTTCTTTTCAATCTCCTGTAGAAAACGTGCTCGGTAAAAAATGACTACTTAAGTAGCATGCAGTTTCGCACTGATTTTCGATGGTCTTGGAAATTCAAATATATTTTATAGAAACTATAAACAAAAATATGCTTTCTTTTAGTCAACCAATAGAAAACCACGTCTTCTTTAAATTTTATACTTAAGGAAGGAGTATAAGTAGGTTTTAAATAAGTTTCTAATTATGATACTTTTTAAGACCGCGATATGTCCATTCCCATAGCATCGTACCTGGCCATTTACCACTGCTCCTCATGAAATGTACAACATAGTCCGCATCCATTGCAAAATGTTATTTACCCTGTATAATATCTCTTTAATGACATTGAAAAATAGGGGATTTTCTTTACGCGGAACGCATGCACCTTGTAGAGTGTAATCACTAAGCGCTAATGCAAAGAATGATCAGGCTCCAAATTTTTCGGCAATTAGAAAACTTTTTTAAAACCTGATTATACTCCTTCTTTTAGTATTAAATAAAAAAGACGTAATTATCTATTGGTTGACTAAAAGAAAGCATATTGGTGTTTATAGTTTCTATAAAATACATTTGAATTTCCAAGACCATCGAAAATCAAGGGGAAAAATGCAGGCTACTTAAGTGGTCATTTTTACCGAGCACGTTTTCTACAGGAGCTTGAAAAGAAGTGCATTTTAAAGCCGACATCCTGCCGAGACCGAATTGTTATAAGAGTATGCCTTAAGATAATCAGTATCACAACGGCGACCAAATAATCCTTCCTAATCGAAAACGCATTTCAGAATTTCAGCCAACATTTCATGAGATAGGTCACGCACTCTATATTATCCCTGTCATTGTTGACTACGTCTCAAAAGTGCTACCGACCTTACTGAATGTTCATCGATGGTACTACCCGGGAGCCATCATTGGCAGTCCAAGTATAGGCAATTGAGCAATTTGACGTCACAGATCAGGATTTAGCATGAACTTCCAAGAGACACTATCACAACCTGGCCTACGTAGGACGGATACACTGTCCAGACTCTGGACACGCGTGTCCACTGGTAAAAGGTCTAATTCAAAACTGCAACACCATTCCTCTCTTAAATACAATTTCGAGAATTTTGGGTAAAATGGAAGTCGATATCCTGTTTAGAAGAATAAATTATGACAGCTCGTAGTACGACGTGATTACTCATCGCGGATCCATTTGATCAAACGTCAGGTAATAAATGACGTCGGAAAACTGTTGCCCGACAGGCACATTGTGATATCACAACCCGAAGTCAAAAAGACATATGATATCCACGTCGGTTTAGATGTTCATTACAATTTTCAACAATGCCATTAGTAGATTTTCAACTTGTGATTTGCTAAAGGCATTTCGGGCATTCTGAACCTCCTTCTTTATTTGATCCCTCGAATGGCGAGCATGACTGTTGCAGTACACACACCACTTGCCACCTGTTTCCAAAGGGCGCGTTAGAAGTCATACACGTTCATCGCTCTACAGACTCACAGAAGCCAGTAATTCACTAAAGATTGTCAAAAAGCATGTGTGAGCATTCTGCCTTTAGTGTAGAATGCGAATTTTACGCCCCCAATACATCGTTAAACTATCAGAATCAGATGACAGAGTACTGCAGGTATGCGACAGAATGCGCAGTTCCTGGTGGCAGTAGTAATTCGAACTGTCAATATGTCCATAATTTACTGTAGAAAAGCATTTCATTCCGTCTCAAAATAAGGTCAACCGCGTTGCAAAATTTCAATTTATTCGAAGCACTTCGCAGGTTTAGGAGACCAGAGAGGATTTATCACTATTTTGGTTTAATGCTTGAATTTGTCTTAGTCCACGATCGCATGCCTAATTGCGGATCGTCTGCAAATGGGTTTATAACGAATTAATTTTCAATCTAATCATCTAAGTAATCAGTTCCGTCATGCAAGCATGATTTGCTGATTACCGGGAAACCATTTTGAATTTGCGGCCTTTCTATCCGTTTGGCAGCTTGTTTGCAGACAAAAAGTCAACATTTTGGGCTTTTTCTACCTGTTGCACCAGCATTGAACATATTCTCTTTTTTCACGTCTAATCACGAGTTAACGCTGATTGTTCACAAGTGCACACCTCGTTTGATGACTCGTTTTATCATGCCTAGACGGGTTCTTGTCTGTGTCAACTGCACTAATTAACTCTCTGTTGCATGTTAACTAGTACATTATTGCCTCCATTACCGTTGTCTATGACTGTCTGTCCTGATGGGTTCAAGTGGGGGCCCGATACGTCAGGCCAATATACATTACGTTTCAGCAGTCGCATCTTCCTCCCGACTGTGATGGTTTTTTCTCACTATTGTCATTATGGCACTCCTGCCCTATGAGAGCCTACTTTTCTCTGGTGAACGGCCACCATTGCAATAGGGGCCAACTTATCTTTTAGAGTGGTGAAAATCCCCATAGCCATATTCAGAAGAAAAAGTGACGAGCGAACATTGCTTTCGATAACTTCTCGTTAGGCCAGTACAGTTATATGGGACGGAGTACAGTGAGTGAAAAAATCAATAAAAGTTTTTAAAATACAGGCTAGGCATGAGCGGAAGGGCACAACATATTATATGTGGTTACTCAACTTTTGACCGCGATAAGCACGGAGCATGAACGAGGTTCTTCTGGAAACATAGAGTCGGCGGCTGTTTCTGCTGTTTTTAACAAGCGCCGGCCCAGTGGCTTAGGGTAGCTGGAGAGGATCTTATAAATCACACGAAATGATTCGGCGGGATTCACATAATGCCCTAAATCCACTGTATGTGCAAGGATGGCGCTGTCTATTCTCCTAGTTTCACATTTTGCCAACGATGCTGTAAGGTTCTTTTATATTCTTTTGAAAAGGTGCCGACTCGTACAACTAATATAACCCGCTCCACAGGAGCAAGTGAATGAATAAATGCACATTGAGGTCGTCCCGGGTGACAGCTTATCCTTTCCTTTTCCGCGTAAGATAGGGTTGGTAGAAAATGATATGCAAACCCTTGCTGCTGGGAAGGTTCCCGAGACAGCCTGGTCAAGGGGTCTTCTAGGGAGTTCGCTTGCAGCGTCTCCTTGGAAAGGGACTTTGAGCAACAACGTTTTCTTTTGGGCGGTCAGTATGGGGTGGTTTTGTGGGTCATTCTGCAAGGTTCTTTGATGAGTGACACAAATAAGACGGAGCGGTAAACTCCAGTCTCTCCTGTCGAGGTTGACATCCCTCTTCAGTTGTTTATTAAAATGTTTATGATACCAATATTTGGAATGTGTTTAGATAGTAAATCCACGGTGAAAAGGACTGCCATATTGCATTTTGTAGTTGATAATTGTCATGAGTGGAATTAAATGAATAAAATCGGCCGATTATGGCCTCTTGCTGCATTAATGGCGGCTTATGTTTCCTTCGGCATGCCGTATTAAAAAAAGCAGGTTTTGTTTGACTGTGGTCGTAAATGCGGTCCCTTTAAATACAGATAAATTTCCCATTACAGGCAAGAAAGTAAAGAAGTTGTCAAAAGAGCCTCAAAGATATGGCTACAGAGACCCAAAAATAAGGGTTCCCGCTGCGCAGCATCCAGATTCCGCTTTCCGATTTCAGGTTGAAGTTATCAAAAAGTCAGTCGAAACAAGCGTTTTCAGATAACTGGGGGAGAAGCGCGTCAAAGCTCGAGACCCAAAGACTTTTGAAGAGTTTTTTTTTCGGAAAATGAGTCAAAGAAAAATAAAAAAGAAATGGCCATCTTAAGGCTATCTTGATTTTGCTGGAGATTTGATGCTCACATTTAAATTTACCCGGCGTCGATTGGGAAAATGAGAAGTTGTTGGGCCTGAGTAAAAATTACAGAAAAACATTTATACATCCTGTTTTATTTCTGAGAACAAATGACATTTTTCTGTAGTAATCTGTTCATGAACACAAGGTATGGTTTAAACGCACATGCCGCGCACGGGATCTGTCTAATAGGCATTGTTTTAACTGAAAATTACTGGATGCTAATAAAGTTCTAATCCTCTCAATGGAACTCCATATTCACGCACACTCCTTTAAAGGACCAGAGGTTAATCAGGATTTTAAAGCTCTCCTACCAAAACCCAAACTGAAGATAGGAGTTAATGCCCTGAACGGATGACCATACCGCTACTTGACTTAGCTCGCCAGGAAGGGCATTTGCAGTGATAGGTAAACG